GTATTTATTCACTTTTGAAGTGTGTGTTGATATTTGAAAACATGAATTTACTTTTGTATGTAAATTAAACAAATATTTAGAATGTGTGATTCTTTACAGAAAACCAAAATGTATGAAGCAAAGTCTTTATAATAAGCACTAATTACTTTCTTTATTTACTTTCTCTATTCAACTTTTCATTGACCAAATACTGAACTCCATTTTTTTTATTTTTTGCCAAAGGAAATAATAACCTGAAAAAAAAGAGAAGTAATGAACAAAAACTAAAACTGTCTAGTTGTTTCATGGGAAAAATAAAAAAAAAAAAACAAGAAAAATCTTCATTAATCATTTAAATCTTCAAAAGATATTTCCACATTAAAAAAAAATCATCCCTTTGTTAGAACATACCACAACATAGTTCAAATGTACACAGTTACATTTTAAAAAGTAATGACAATTTATTAATCAAAACAACCAAAATATTTTAATTTTGACAGTTTTGTAATTTAAATATTAAATAAATTTCAGATGTTTGTAGTGTAATGAATGTTATATCAATAACATAATGATAAAGAATAATAATAATAATAATAAGAAAACATACATGTACTAACAAACATATATGAGGTATACAAATTTATAGATTGCTAGCCATATTTGGAAACAGAAAGGAGATGATAAAAACTCTTATTGGTCAACAAACATCAACAGGAAGATCTTTTAATTAATAGAGAAACACACACTTAAGAATAAAAACAACATTTTGACAAATATATCTATTAAATTAATAATGCGTACATCCAATATGTGAAACAAAACAAAAACACTATCACATTAACTGAAATTCTAAACTGTGTATCACAGACAATCTTTTGTAACATTAAAACATTTAAATACGTTTTTTTTTTTTTTTATTTTTTTTTTCGTTTTTTTTTTAATGTGAAATTCAGTATGGCATAAAATACTGATTGACTATTCAGATATTTATTTTTCAATAAAAATGACATATATTGTTAACAGTGTCAATAATTGTTTGTGTGAACAGCGGTTTAATAACATTAACTAATTATCAAAATCCAAGGGTTCTATTCTACATAACATTGTTTCATCTTTGGAATACCTCATGGTCAAAACTAAAGGCTCAATTATTTTACTGGAGCTAAGCACAAAAAAGCCCAATCGCTGGGTTGATAAGCTTAATTTAAAGATGGAAAATTACATACACCATATTCATTGCTGCCACAAAACCCTTGAATTTTGAAGTAAGATTATTTGTAAAATATCAATGAATATATATTTGTGTACATTATTATGGGCATATAACTAATCTTACATTTTAGACTATGAAATGAAGATTTCTTTTTTAAACATACTTTATCTAACAGAAACTTTCTATTTAAAACTTAAAACCATATTCACTGGAGCGAATTTCCATAATTTTGTTTCCACTCAGAGTATGAATTGAATGGTCATTTGCAAGTCTAAATTTTTACAGAGCTGAGCATTAGTTGCTGTTTTACTAAGTGGCTACATATTGTTATTAAAAGCTATCATATTACCCCACACAAATATCACAGGAAGGAAGTGTCAAATGAATACATCAAATCAACAATAGATTGTATTTAGAAATACTTTTATCATGTCATTTTTAAGAATCTAAAGAAAGTAACCATCACCAACACAACAAAATCATCCACTGTCATATTTGACATTGGATGTTTAAATTTAGCATAAATTCTGCTTAACTATACAATCTGCCAGTCTGACCTGAAATGAAACTCATGGCTATCATGTTTTCACTACTTCTAAAAGTACATGTATACACATTCATACCTTAATAACACAAGTCATTATGGACATGTCAATAGGATCTTAAACCAAACTAAGATTTTTTCTTAAATCTAACAGAGACTCCTGAAAAAGTACATAGAGAAGAAGACCACATGTTTGGGAAGGGTCAGCATCTTCTGCTTCAGTGTCCACAACTGTCCTGTAAATCTTGGTCAATTAAAGGGAGAAATACAGAAAAAAATATCAATATTTCTTGTCATGTAACACGACGAAATATTGGCATTTTATCAGAATGAACATTACCTGTAAATTAAATTTATTTCTAATGTGCATCTTTTGAACAAACCTCTCACGAATGAACCTGTCAATGAAATGATCTCAATGTCTCTACTTTATAAGATATATTGTACAAACACAGAAAGATAAAAAATTTGTGTTATAGATATCTGACATTTATATAGCCTTGATGACGTTTTAAATGATTTTTAGTGGCGAGTAGAAAGTCTATGCTGCGTAATTGATTCCGCTAAGTGACCAAATACAAACCTGACACATAGAAAGGGATGTTTCATTTAAGTTTTAATATATAACATACAAGCTATATCTGATGGTGTCAAAAAAAATATTTTAAAAAAAAAACTGAAAGTGTTTTGTATGTATTCAATTAACAATCATTTCCCTTTAATACTGGTGTCGTGTTACGTATTTCCTGTGTGAGAAAATAAAATATTCTAAACCCACACAAGAGGTCGCCAATTCAAATATATTATCACATCATAATCGATCTTAAGTGACACCTCCATTTATATAATTTTGATTTACAACAAAAATAATAAAACACAATCCTGGTTTCAGCAATATATATATAAAATTTATATGTGCACAATAAAAATTGATACATTAATCTGGTGTCACAAAATGATGTTTATTTCTCTCGGTTAATGTGTTTTCATTTCCTTCACTATTAATCACAGTCAATTACTGTATTTTTCCTACAATAAATCCTAGAGGCTGATAAAATGACTTCATACTGAAAATTAAGGAGTGAGCTGATAACATGAAGATCGCATTGGTTTTCTTTTTAATATACTGATATACAGGTGGGCTCATTATGGGCCATTAGCTCAATTAGCTGTACAAAATACAGGTGATATAAACTGTCTATATTGTTCTAAATAAACTAAATAAGAAATATCAAAATTGTTTATCTGTTTAAATGGAACTCTAGTTAATACCTAATGGTATACCGTTGAAGATTCCTGACAAATTCAGCTACCTATTAATCAAAACTAGAATGTTTATTTCCCCAACCACTTTTGTGATACTACCAAAAGTATCAGACTATGATTTCTCTACCCAGAGTATCAGACAATGATTTCTCTACCCAAAGTATCAGACTGATTTCTCTACCCAAAGTATCAGACTATGATTTCTCTACCCAGAGTATCAGACAATGATTTCTCTACCCAAAGTATCAGACTGATTTCTCTACCCAAAGTATCAGACTATGATTTCTCTACCCAGAGTATCAGACAATGATTTCTCTACCCAAAGTATCAGACTGATTTCTCTACCCAAAGACTATTTCCCTACAAAATGCATTTGAAGGCATCTACCTTTATCATTTCTTCACATCCTCAAAAATATGGGACCAATGAAAATAATTGACCACTACGATACCACATTCCCCAAATAAATTATTGGAATTGTAAATCAAAGACTACCCTCATACATATCCACTGTCATTGACCAAGCATAAGATTTTGATTGAAAATATACTGAATCATTGATGATAAACTTTGATCACATATTTGATATCAAGATATATCTGTTTCAATCCTTTAAATATTTTCATTAAACGTAGTTGGGATTTACGTCTTGATTGTTTCCCTTTACCGAAAATTTCGAAATTTGCATCTGGAATGTGTATTTTGAGCAGTTCAAATTAGATTCTTGTCCCATTGAAAAAAAAAATTATAAAATTCACAAAGAAGTATTCTCTGCACTAGCCTGCAGAATTAGAAATTTTTTCTTTCTTATCAAATGGCAGTACGAAAAACGAAAGAAAACTACCAAGATAAGAAATTTCAACACAGCCTACAAAATAAGCAGGTATATATTTTCCTAAATGCAAGTTGAGTAAGTGACTCTGTAGCTACCTGGACATCCTCAAAAGCAAATTCTAAAGTACACATTTTTTCTGGCAATGCCTTTTATAGATAGTCAATAAAACTGGTACTTATTCAAAATACTGAATAAAAAGATCTATAACTATGCTCACCGTACATCGTGAAATCTGATTTGATAAGCAAGACTTTTATACATATGTACAACAACAAAAATTACTGTATATTCCTTATCTATATTGCTATTACTCTACTTTGTGTTTATTCAGATGAAATAAGTTTCTAGAAAAAAATATTTCACATCTTTGCAGTAAAAATAATGAGCAATTTGTTTTATGTATATCTTAAATTCCAATCTATAAATCACCATGATAATTAGACTTCAGAAATAAATCTGAAAATTGAAGTTTTAATCTAGCGAGACCATAATTAAACAAGGCCTGAAGATCAAACAACAAGCGGGATCATTACGAAATTTTGAATTTTTAACCACAGATACATCATCATATTAAAGTTATTTAAAACAGTTGATATATGTGCCTTTGATACAACTTCAGAGATAAATAAAATTAAATGAACAAAAATATGAACCATCTCCAAGAATTAAGAAAATGAGATGCTGCTGTTACGGAAAAAAATACAATGATTCATAAAATAATGAACCATGGTGTATAAATCTTGCTCCATTCTTTAGAATTTTATCCCACTATGTTTGCACCACTACCCAAGCACAACAACTTGACTGCATTATCTATCATTATCAATCCATCTAAATGACTGAATTCTTTTTTATCTCAAAGATCACAATGATAAATGGTTTCACTGAACCTAGCAGGCATACATAAACCTTAAATATCTTTAAAACTAAATCCACTGTTCAGATGGGAAGATCTGACTTGATACATTTCTATGTAAATAAATCATGATTTATTATAAATACTTCAACATGACTTTGATAAATATTCAGTCTATATCTTCATCTGCATAATAGTAAAAAAAAAAGATATTTTTCCATTGTGATTTTTACAGCTACATTATATGCATAAAACTTTAAAACATTGAGATAACTATTCTTTATGTGCATTTTTCCTTCTTGAATGATTAGCAAGCTACTTCTGCTTGTGGTGGTGTCCACACTATCGTTGGTTGTGGTATGTTGGTCAGTGGGGCAACCACTGGAGCAGGCATTGAAGATGAAGAGACCGTCTGCTCCATCTGAGTGGGTGGAGATGTAACAGTGACCTGTTTTTCGGGTTGCGCAGTTTCCCGTGGTGGCGGGGGATGTGGAACAAACATCGTGGTTGCTGTAGCCTCAGGAATTCTAGACTTTCCATTAGAGCTTGGTGCTTCAGTTTTCGCGCTGTTCCAAATCATGCATGATGCAACAGATTCTCTGCCACTTGATTTTGCTGACATAGCTCTGTTTTTTCTGTTTAGCAAACTTAACTGTAAGGCTTCATTGTTCACTGATGTGATGAGTTCCTTGTTAGGGTTGCTCTTATAATCACCATGAGAATACCTGTACGATGTTGTTGGGACGCCATCAAATGAAGTCTTTGGTCGTTTTACCATTATCTGTGGTATATTGTGATGTTCCTTATGCTCTACTGAAATTGTTGACGAACATTTGGTGATTTCTGTCCTCTTGTTCTTAAAGTCAACTTTGTAGGTTGAAACTAGAGGTCGTGACCTTTCGATGTATTCCTTTTCTGGCATCCATGTGATGAAATCCCGTTTGAAATTGTATGTCTCATTTGGTACTCTTTTCCTTCCCAAGCCCTGCAGTATGTATACAGAAATGAACAATTCTTAATTCTGAAGTGTTATGCTGCATTTTCATGACATTACCACCTCCATCCTAAAGAGTTCCACAATGAAAATCAAAATTTTGAATTTGAATATGTCCTTGTCAATGATAAAAATATCAAAAGTCATTTGAAAGTTTATATATATTATTTATATATAATATATTATATATTCATACCTAACACAAAAACATAATATGACATAATATTGTGAATCATGGCAAAATGAACTGGAGTCAAAATACCAAATGATGAAGTGGATCACATTTCAACTCACTATTATGGTGAAATTAACACTCCATGGTAAAGTGAAACTACCTTAGATTTTGTTTTCAATAAGTTTTCCTCTGATTTATTTCTTTATCAGTTTTTTCCTTCACATATGATAAAAACAAAGACAAGAGGCAATGGGCCTGCATCCCTCACTTGGTATTCAATGATCATCAGAGCTAATCTTGTTAATATCACAGATATATTGGCATAAACACCATTAGCATTCAAGGTAGACACATCTAATTGATTTTAACCAATTTTCACAACAAAGAGCTTCTAACAATGACAGTTGTGACCTTGATTTTAAGTAAATGCCAGCATTTTCCTCAGAATTCGACCTTTGACCTAGAAACACCTTTCAAAAAAATATCATGGTTTTGAGACTTCTAGTTTTACCAAAAGAAATCTTTTACAGATTTTTTTTAAGAAATGTGATCCCTGACACCTTCAATATGGGTCAAAGTAATTTTCCTCTCTTGCAAACATTACTTATCACCATAGGAACCTGTTAGTCAAATACCATATATCTACATATTTTGCTTTGTCAGAAAAAGTTGTTTAAATGATTTAACAAAATCGACTCCTGTGACTTTGAATAAGGGTCAAGGTCACTTCTTTTAACAAATTTATATGGGCTTCATTCTAGAAACCTAACAGTCAAATTTCATACTTCTACACCTTAAAGTTAGTCAGAAGAAGCCGTTATATGATTTTAACAAGTTTGACTCCCGTAATCCTGACTAAGGGTCAAGGTAATTTCTTTTCACAAATTTTGTCCTGATTCATTCTAGGAACCTACTACCTAAATACATTGCTTCTGGTTAGTCAGAGAAAGCCATTGAAATGTTATAAAGTTTTACCCTTGTATCCTTAAATAAGGTTCAAAGTCATTTCTTTTTGCAAACTTTGTTGTCTTAATCCTTGGAACCTATCCACTAATTACCTTGCTTCTATGGCATTTAGTAAGTCAGGATAAGTCTAATTGTTTTTAAAAATTTGACCCATGTGTCTTTGAATATGGGTCAAGGTCATTTGTTTATGCAAGCTATGCTGGGCTTCCTCCAAGGAACCTACCAGTCAAATATCATGCATCTATACCTTTCAATTAATTAGAAGTTGTTTGAATGTTTTAACAAATTTGATCTCTGTGACTTTGAATATGGGTCAAGGTCATTTCTTTTTCACATTTTTGTTGGGCTTCAACTCTAGCAACTTATCAGCCAAATATCATGACTCTTGGCCTTTTTGTTAAGAAGAAGAAGTCTTTCATAAGTTTTCACAAATTTAACCTCTGTGACCTTGTGAGAAGAAGCTGTTTAAAAGAAAAATTGATACCAGATGGATGACAGATGACAGACGGACAATGGCCACTGCATGGTGGCATTAGCTCACTTGGTCCTTCACATCAGGTGAGCTAAAAACTTAACAAGGATAGAGAAATTTAGGGTGGGGCAGTGCCCAGTAAAGTGAAGCCTTTCTTCATTTTCTAACGGATTAACTTTTTTCATAATTCTAATCTCTAATTTTCCTGATATATTCATTTAAACACAAAAATAATCCCAAAATATGTCTAGGGTGGAGAAATTCAGGATGGAGCAGGGGCTTTACTTTACCATTATGATACAGTGAATTATTTCACTATTTCCTTACTATGTAGTACTTGACTGTTTTTCTTCCCTTTTTTTTTTTTAAATCATCCTGATTCATACAGGTAAACATATAAATAATCAAAAGTATGACAACAGTGGGGAAGTTTAGGGTGGTAAAGTTAAGTGTTTCACTAACTAATTACACTGTTTTGCATCAAAAAACTTTTTAAGTTACCTTAGTTAATTCTTTTTAAAACATAAATAACAAAACAAAAAAATTGGTGGAACAATGGATGCTCTCTGAATAAAAACGACTTCCAAAAGGGCTAGTATCTTAAAATATGATGGACTGACGGACAGATGGACAAAGCAGTGACAATATGCTTTCCCTATATACTTAATCGATAATATTTTGCAAATGAATGGGAAGGAAGTTTCTTATATATGCTCTGATTAATACTATGAAAGATAAGGAAGAGAATGAAATTTTTACCTGCTCAAAGTAAAGAGCATCATTCAAGAAGGATTCCCTGTTATCATGGTGAGAGAACACATGTCTTGGTGTTGGTTGCTGAAAAGCAAAAAAAAATTATGAATTTTTTTTCTATGATTCAAGTAGTTATTAGAAAGCTACAAGTTTAAATGTATGGGAACCCACCTCACCTTTAACACTTTCTTTTTCAAAAGGCTTCCTTAATTTTTCTGATGGTGATCTGAATAGTTATAAATTCTTGCAGATAATATTTTATATGAACCACTAACACTTATAATAAATAAGGGAAATAACTCTCATATATATTACAGAATGAATTAGTACCTACAATATATTTCATATTGTTTATCTCTGTATAAGATACAGTGTAGAATTTCTATGATTAAACTTCATTAATGAAAAAAAAAGCAACTTTTATATTACTCTTTCAGACTTGACAGTTGAGTTATAATTAAAACATATTGTTGTGTTTATAATCAACAGCCTTTTTCAATATCATAAACAATATTGTATATGGATATGGATATACTGGTGTTTGAAATCCACATTGTGACATTCGAAAATTTATTTTGATATACTGTTTACTATAAATAAGTTCTGAAACAATATAGATATTTATTAAGAGAACTTTATATGTGCAAATACCAATTTATAATCAATTATTACAGTTAGTTAAATAATAACAGGTTTTCCCTCTCCTTGACTCGTCCCATTGCCAGGTATCATCTCACCGATGAACGTCAGCGTTCTGGGGACATTTTGTTACAGTAGGTAATGTCTATAACTACAGGAATTTTCATACAAATGACAGTTTCCAATCATCAGCTAATTGCCTCGTACCTACTGGCTACATACACCTATACTGACACCTGAGCCTGCTCCACCAACACTGATTGTAGGTTTTATGCAATCCTACCTGACCAGGTGTAATTAGTTACCTTGACATGTATAAAAAGTACCCCAGGTGAATCTATTGCCTCACATCGCCAGAACGGTGACATTCGTCGGTTAGACGATACCTGAACAAGGAAGGAGTTGCGGAGACGAAAAACCAACCAACCACCTATGGCTAAGTGACATGTTGCTAACCGGATACTAATCATATAGGACAGCAAATTTTGTAAAAAAAACAATACCATGTCAGTGGGTATACCAATACTGAAAGGGAGATATTTTATGATGGGCAAAAATGTACTTTTATAATAGAGGATACAAATACGATGTGACACCACAGCCATTACCATTTATGTTTTCATATTTTATCTGTATAGTTATCCTAACGACTATTTAGAATTGAAATTTCAAGTCAGGAGCCCTATCAAACTGTTTTCCGGTTAGTTTTAGACATACACCTTTTGGATCCTGATAATGTGAAAATGTTTAATTGTATGTTGAATATCAACAGTTGAAAAAAAGATGCCCAATGGGCTTATATAATTCACCTGATTGAGTTAAGCTGAAGCTGCTATATTTATGCTAAAGGAAAGTTGTTTTAAAATTTTATATCTATTTTCTCTATCAGGCCCTTCCTCTTTGCAGCACTGTTTATACAAAACTATGATTCCAAGGATGTTTCAGATCAAATGTAGACAAAATTCAATTCAGGTCCCCAACAAGTCTTCTGGGGGCCAAGACCCCATCCATACCACACCCCCTCCTCTAGATTCTCCCTTACCCTAGAATGCTTCAGACCAAATATGGATAAAATATCTTCACCTTCATCCCATTACAGTACCTTTGTCTGAATAGAAGAGGGATTTCAAAGAATTTGTTTTATTTCCCCTTCTGGGCCTTTTCCCCTCCCATTCAAGGAGGCAGAGGTCCACCATTTATACAAAAATGATTTCCTTTCTCCACAAGGATAATGCAGGCCAGGCATTTATAGAAGAAGAAGAATTTACTCTTTTTCCTCTAATGGACCTTGCCCTTTTTACCCCTGGCGGTGAGATGCACTGTTTTCACAAGATGAATTTCCTGGTCACCAAAGAATGCTTATGACCAAATTGGGACTAAATCCAAACATTCCTACAGAAGAATTTTTGAAGTATTTGCTTTATTTACCCTTCTGGGCCCTCCCTTCCTGCCCCGCCCACTCTCAGGGGCCAATAGCCACTGTTTATACAAAATTAATTCCTTCTCTCACAAGGAATCTTTTCAGATGAAATTAAGTCAGTATCTAGCATTCTGACAAAAGGAAGATTTTAAAGAATTTGTTTTTGGGTCAGGTGATCTAAAAATGTCAAATTATGGTCATAAATTTAGATTTTTTTTTCATGTGTATCTCTAAATTGACAAAATCTTTCAATATTTTTTACATATGTACCTGCATTAAAAGGTTTTTTTTCCATAATGTGTTGAAGTCAAATCTTATCTTTCAAAGGGTCAAATGTTCTAGGACAAATGAATTAAAGTTGTTTTGCAAAGTTTTTAACAGCAAGAACTTATAAAATCATCGCAAAATATCACACCAATGAAATGTTAGATAAAAGTCATAAAACAAGTACTTATAGAACCATCAAAACTGACATGTTTCCTGAAGCTGAATGAGGTTTATATCTTGTTCTAAGCATTGGATATTCCATGAAAAAATATTCTTCCATAAATAAAATATTTTGAGTTGAGGTTTGTCAGAAACTCGAACACAAACTTAAGAGAGAAAGAGATAAATATTTAGCATCTAAAAAACTTTCAAAAAATAATGATATTGCTTTTACATGTTGAAACCTTGAATATCCATTTGCTTTTTTGGTTTATGTAATGTCCCATTTACTTTGATTTATGTCATGTTTGTCAGTCCATTTTCCCCATTTAACTTGATGTATAATGTCGTAAAACATGCATAAAATTTATATGTATGTTTGTTTGCCTAATGTAAGAGAAAGAGTTGACATTTCATATCAGATATATAAACAATATTACATATTTTGTAATACATTATTTGACAGAAAAAGGAAATTTTCTTGACATAGATGGCCTCCTGGAGAAGCCTTTATATGAACCCTTTCAGATCTACTCAACCATCGGCATAATTTGTTAAGATTTGAATTTAAATTATCTAAATGACATCAACAACTTCAAAATAAATTTTGAAATGAATAAGCTGGTGTAATATTTTTAATGCATATTTAAAGAGCTGTAAAAATTTGCAACCTAGTAAAACCCAAATCTGTCAATCACCCTACAGAAATAGGGCCGTGTGTATATCAAGGGAGGTTACTCCTACATGTCTGTTACGTAACAAAATGCTTATGGGTAAGAGGCATGAGTCAAATATTGTTAATAAATTCACTAGGTTAGAATTTTTAACAGCAATATTTATCTACCAATAAGACATGACTTTACTGCTACATCAGAAGCTTTTCAAACATTCATGGTATTTCAATATCATAAATGCATGGTCAGGTATTATGATTAGCAAACAACAAATTAATAATTTGGAAGTTTAACAATATATGTGTTTGTTATATAATGTATTTCTGTCACATGAACTGGCTGTTTTTTTTAAATATATAAAAATAATTGACATGATGAAAGAAGCATCATACATAACACCCACAAGCGTGTACAACCTGTTTAACTTAATTTTTTTTAAATGCCATGACCGACTGACAGTTTCCTGTCTTCCTATGATGCTTTCAGACACTTTGTCATGATGTTGGATAATGTCGACCCTGCTGGTTCAAACTCTTATTTATTTTCACAAGTAAGATTTCATATAATTCGAACAGGTTCAACAATATTGAATCGATTTTGTTCAAACTGACCAAACTTTTATTGTATTCTGGCAATGACCTGTCCCAATACCACATGTGTTATATGTTTATGATATCATTGACAGCAAAAAATAAATGAACTGCAGAGCTGCTGAGTATCATACAAAACTGAAATATTATAATTTCTTACAAAGTAAGACAATCTCATTATCTCCATAGCAATAAATTGAAAGAAATCAATATAAAATTTAGTTCTTACAAAAACTGTTATCAACTTATACTAATTTGTGCATTCTGATTTCCTTAAGTATCAGATATTCACCCTCCACAAAGGTCAAAGTTCAACATGGCAGCCAATCAAAATGTCTTTAGAGTTTAATCCAAATGTAGTTTATTTGTGTTTTCTAATCGATATTGTAATGATTAATTTATGGATTGAAAGTTGAATAACACCCATCTACTGCAGTAAAAAACACTTTACTTACGAGTTTCATCAATAATCGTGCAAAAAAAGTGAAAAAATCACAAATCCTCATTCATGCATTTGATGTAAATATACATATAATGTAAGTATGGTCAGTATTGTATCAAAGCTGGTAATCAAGGGAAACAACTCTTACTGTTGTAGCTTTTAAAATGTATGCTAAATACCAATATAACTAGGGATGGGTCGATCAAGGATTCAACATTAAACAAAAGCAGTTTGATTTTGTCAGGTGTATTGCGATTCTTTTTTATCATATTCTGCTTTACTTCAGTTGTTTATTGACAATGCAGTGTTGGTCCATATCAGCCATTCTGGGCTGCCTGGTGGAATAGAGGTGATCAAATACTTAGACTTGTATATACTTATGAATACTTAATGGCATTTCATTACTATACTGAAGGCACTTAGAAAGTGCATGTGACCAGCATTCAAAATGTCAGTATATTATTTCTGCGATCTATTTGTATTAGACACAAAGACATCAAGGTTTTCTTTACTGGAAATATTGATTGTATCGTGACCATCCATACACATATGTGTAATAATTAATTCTGTGATAGTTAAAGGGAAGGTGAGCTTCCCATAATGAATGTGGTCCTGTAAGTCTTTATCAAAACAAGTATTAACTACTTATGTTAAAAATTTGAAAAGTATCAAGGTCAATACCAGTCAAAGATTTTTCAGGAAAGATTAAACAAGAGTATTAATGAAATTGATAAATGCTTCCCAAAAACAACTTTGTCACAGAATTTAATCAAAGGGTAACAACTCTGTATTAAGAAGTTGCAGGCCCTGAATCTGGTACATTGCACATTCTCTTGGTATGACCAATGTATACACAAAGTTTCAATAACTCCAAAATTACACAATAGAGAGTT